GAGTGCCGAGTGTTGACCTCCACACAGACTTGAGAGTAATGAAAGCTTGTCTTACTTTCCCGATACTCGCTGCTTTGATATCCTCGTCAGTTCCACCTGTAGTTGAAACGATGCTTCCTATGTAGGTAGGTAAAGGACATTGTTTCTTTCAGGTTGCTTCCATTTATGCTGGCTGATTGTTGTCTGTTGTTGGTGTTGCCCAGCAATCTTCATCACTTCTGTTTTCTCTAGGTTTACTTGAAGTCCTATCTTTGATGCTTCTTCTGCCAGCTTGTTGCTTTTCACTTGCATATCTTCCAGTGTGTGGGAAATCAGACATAAATCATCGGCGAAGTCCAGATCCTCCAGCTTCCTGTTTTGTGTGAGCCCATTTTATGCCTGTTTCCTCATCAGCCGTTTTCTGTCGCATTATCCAATCTACTGCAATCAGGAATGTTGTTGAATTTTGTAAACACCATATTATTTATGTCAGTTTTTGCGTTTATTTTAATTTGAAATAGCTGAAATCCTTATTGACTATTCTGCAAATAGGCGCAAATCACTGTCTATATGTTCACACTAGTTTTGTAACATTTTGTATCCTATTACCTGTTTATTCCCAAAACTGAGCAGGATTACCCTCTTTATGTTTGTCTGGATACAATATACAACCGGCCAAAAAACAACTACAACAACAAACAGAACAAACAACACCAACACACCAACGTGTACTAGAAAGAGGAATGATGAATCTGTTCAATCTGTTCATAATGAAAGGCATTCATTAGTGTTCTTTTTATTATCAGTGTTTTTTATTACATATAAAAAAATAGAACCTTCAGTCTTTTTCACATCTATAGTGTTTATTTATTTTTCAAATTTTTCGATTGATATTCCCTATTTTTTCTTCTATACATATTCGATACAAATTGAGCGCCTTGTTAAAAGAAGACAAAACTGTTTCTTCTTTTTTTAAAATGATTTCTTTCCAGCTGTAATCAACATCACACAACTGTTGTCACGTGTACACATGTACGTGTTTATACGAGGATGATTTGATGAATAGTGTTCATCCACACGGATCTTTGTGTATGCGTGTACATTCAGTGCCTTAGATTACCTTTATTTTTTGACTAGAAATACACAAATTGCAGTTAAACTAAAGTTAGTAAGTAAATTTAGAAGACAAACACGAGGGAGAAGAAAGCAGAGAATTGTTTTCTTCAACCTAATTAGTTAACAATCTATTGTAGTGATGAATCATTACATTTGTTAAACGTCAATATACCCTGATTTATAAGCTTAAGAATAAACTTAAAAATATATTGTTACTTTTTTCTTTTTTGTCGATGTGTTTATAACACTAGTGTTGCTACTTGAAATACCGCAGAAGATTTATAACTCACAGTTATGGTGACAATTATTTTTTATTGGTTGGAGCTGACATCAGTTAAAGAACTGTTGGAGAACCTAGGAGTACTGTACTGGACAGCTGTTTCGTCCTTCCTAGTCTGCGACTCTCCATCAGTACGCACCCACCAGGTACTAATGGGACGCCGTGACCAGTAGGGTACAGCAAGTTGAAGGTCAGGCAATAACTCATCGAAGAAGACATTGAGAAGTGACCGCGCTATGTGATGAACTGGCAGAAGTTAGAATTCATGGGCTGGCCATTGGATCAGGAACCATTGGGTGCTGAATGTTCTAAGAGCTCGTTAGCCTCTTAAACAGAAAGTCCTGGGTTCTAACCCCTATGGTGGTGGCGTACTGTGAAGAGTCCCAAACTAGGACGAACGAAACATCTGGGGATTACTCCTTGTAGGTTTTCGAATAGTTCTCTGACTGATGTCAGCTCATGATGAAATCCTTCAACCAATCAAATGAAAATCCCTACAAAACCAATTCTTGAAAATTACTTTTTATGCTTTTATGATAATGCTTTACACGATGTTATCACAAAGAGAGGTACCATTAACTACGCTGAATAGTTTGTTGAGCAGAACTGCCAAACAGTAAATAATTCTCATTATTTAATTGTGATATTAACAGCTTTACTGTTGAGAGTTTTGTAGTTCATGACTTAATTCGTAAATATGTAGTGATACAAACTATGGTTTCATTCTTGTCAGTCAACTGTCATTATGCGTTTTATTACTGAAGGTGCAATATCATAAGACATGATTAGGTTTGAAGTAATTTGATGACAATTTACACTATACATGTTTTCTTGGAATTTTCGACTTTTTAAAAGTATATGGCTGAAATACTTCTTTTATTCTGTAAATTTCAAGCAGACTATGTTGTTATTAAATGATATGACTAGCAGTGAATATCATGAATCTTGGTTTGTTTCCGGAAATTCTTTTGTTAATTATTTATCACAGTTAGATACTATTAGTTCACAGACTGAACCGATGTACTTGAATGATAACTGAGACTGAAGTGAAAGCCTGAGTTGCGACAGAGTTTTAGCCACCGTCGCTCACTGCATTATGTAATTGCATAATGTAAGTAACAAGGTGCCACATGCGCATCACATAAATCACTAAAGGGTGTATCTTAGTCAGGTTTAGCTGATCTAGATATAAGATGGCCACTTGTTTTTGTATGTTATGCAGCTCATCAGTACTGCTCCCGTCTGTCACTGTGGCGTCGTTCCGCGTTACCACTAATAAGCAGTGTTTAAGATGAGTAGTGATATAGACATTCACTGGTTAAATCACACTTCTGGTTGACGCAAATAGTTCTCAGCTGCTCATTTGAAGATTAAGATTTACCATTGTGCTATTAAACTTGCTTACTTGATGTCATTTATTGTGTCAGGCTGACCACTTGTAAATATTTTGGGTTTCAAAAAGAAAACGTGGTCACACTGTACAATTTGCATCTGACGAATTTCATTCACTTAGTCATAAAGTCTTTAATTTCTTATTAGGATAAGAAATTATGGCCTAACAATACCAATGCGAAAAACACTCATATATTTCTAGATGAATACTGTAAATGACCGGCATGATAAGTATATATTTTTTAGGCTTGTAAATAATCGGTATATCTCAAGGTAATCATCATCTAACATCAATAGTATTTAGGAAACTATGAAAAATAAAGTAGATTTTCTATCCACAACGTCACACATCGGTACCTAGTACTATCGATTCATAATTTCTAAATTAGAGTTAAAAATGATCCCTATAGCAGTTTCTTTCAACCCATGAATGGACTTAATCCCTCGAAGTGTCGATTAGATAAGTAGTTTTGATGTGGTGTTGAGGAATAATATCTACATGGTAGTACACAGATGGCCCAGATCATGAAACGGACTGTTGAGCGAGAAGGTGAGCGTATGCTGGATTGACAAAATGATCCTGGAATGTATAAACTTCCCGGATCGTTTGTCTCTAGTGCCACATAAACTCGAAGATCTGGAGGCGAAAAAGAACAATTTGGCAGAAGTATCAGCAGAGATAAGACTCTAAGTAAACTTAGAGAATGTCAAGTTGATGAAGTTACCTAAACAACAAAAACAACAAGCGTCAATCACCATCAATGGGAGGAATCTAAAGAAGGTCACGTCTTTCACTTAACTAGACTGTACTGTTACATTTAAAGGAGGTCCAGACGAAGGCTGCAAAGGCAGGAGAGGAAAATCAAACGCAGATCTTTGACTATGACCCTGGTAACTGGTAGTGTTTTTCTAACAAAATGTTTTATCGACAGCTTCTAAACATAGATCACAGGCACTATTCGCCAAACATGAGTTTAGTTTCATGTAAGGCTTGAACCATCCAACGAGAGTACGCTGGTGACTTAAGCAAAAGAGAATCTTTAAGCATGAGTTTTTGAATTCCTCTGATTTATTCTAATAAGTATCATCTTTTTCGAGTTTTAAGATGGCAAATAGAAAACATTCTTTGTGATTTATTTCATCATCTAACATCATCAGCTGTGTCCACGAGGGCGAATATTATTCCATCATGTATATTAACGTCCATAGCATAATGTAAGGTTAATACAGTGTACTGAAACAGTCAAATTCTTTTAAGAATTCCAAAATGAGAAATACGAATGTGTGAATTTTTTTTTCCTTCACGTTCCCAGTGGAACATAGGGCTTCAAGTGAGAGGCCTGAAGTTTCTTTAGCAGTGTTTATTTTTACAGGATGAGGTTGCTAGCCTCATGCACAACATTTCCTCTTTACCAACATTATTTCTGGCTTAGCGAGGTAAAGGTTGCGTTCGTAGCCGGGGATCGAACCCCGGACCATGTGCATAATCGGCGCGCCTCCTAACCGCTGTGCCATCGACGCAAAGGAAAAAGAGAAAAAAAATGTGTGAATAAAGTCCTTTAATTTTACACCTATATAAATTTAGAATAGTATTTTCACAATACATTACAATATCCTAAATACTTTTGGTATAATCACCTTCAAACCACCAATATAAGCAAGCGAAACAATCATTTGTTAGGATGGAGAAAAAAAATTATATAAAACAAGACAATGGAAAAGAAAGCGTATACAAACGGAATAATCATAGTGTATTAGCAAATGTTAATCGAAATTTATAGAGGTAGAGTTTTTTATATGCGTAGATATAGCACATAATATTCTGATTTCTTATCAGTAATGTTATCAGTAGCATATTGAAAAAAAATATCTGATTTGAAGAGTAAAAGTAAAGTAAACTTCAGAGTAAAATCGTAGAGAATATATATGAATGGATAAAGTAATTTTAAAGGAACTCAGTTACACCTTGTGATTATATAATTTGAATCCTAATATCATATAAATTCGGAATAAATTTTTTAACTTCATCTTTCTTGTTTTAATTAATCAGCGATAACTAAAACCCTAGAAATTAAATATAAATCAAATTAAGATTAGAAATATGGTTCAAAAGATCATTAGAAATAGTGATTGCATTTGCGTTTGCAAACTTCTCAAAAAAGTGTTATAGCAATTTCACTGGAAAAAAAAGCCAAATGTATATCACTTCATCTGTCAGATTCATATTCATTTTTTATACTCTACTAAATTTAAGAATGCCTAAGTCTCCTTTCTTCAATAGCGTTGTGTCCTTTTGTCCGTGTAACAATGATTGTTGACTTCTCTTCGTTTGAATAATTTTAGTATTTAATCTGATAGGACCAGAAATACCAGATAGTAGACTACGTTTTTTCATTCTGCGTGGATAATATCTTGTTAGATTTGTATTAGTTGAATTAGTCAAACGACTGGCAATTACTACGCCTTTTGAACCTCGTCCACGAAATACTAAATGTGGTTGTTGTTTTGCACGTTCATTATCAATACAATGTTTTCCATCATACATAAGTTTATAACCTGGTACACATTGACAATTGTATCCTCCTGGTGTATTTTTACAAATTCCAAAATCTGGATCACATGGTCTAAGACGTGCACATTCATTGATATCTAACTCACACTGGAAACCTTCATAGCCATGTGTACATTCGCATAAATTACCAGGTCGACATGTGCCACCGTTTTGACACGGGGGATCACATGATATCCCGTTTTCCTTCTACAAGAAGAAAGACAAATATAAGAATAAATAAAAATCTTTCAATGTCAGAAAGTATAATGAAATACACAAATACAAAAGAAAACACTAAATGATATTGTCTGGATGGATTATGGTGATTTATTCAATGACACACCTTTGTTTCATTTGTTCTTTTACGTAGGCTAACTAAGACTGTAAATAGCGGAACGTTTAAATCAGCGAGCACAGATTTTTGTACAGCTTTATATCTTGAAAATTAAACCATTACAGTGAATGGTTTTGAAATTTGAAATGCATCTCTGAATGTGTACAATGTAATCCCAGTCAAAATATATCCATTTAAAATCTATTCATTCTCTTCGTCCATGAACTGTAAATAACAGCTTGTGGTATAAGTCATATCGCTAGGCATTAGGATGTCTCCAATCTCTAGTTCACCAGCAGCTTTACGTGTTTCAATGGTATGGCAAAATGTCTTATATAGTATTCCTAAATAGCTGTGAATTATAGGAACAACTTTAAACTGATGGGGTTGCGTTTGATTTAGTCTTTTTCAGATGAATTTGACCACACTCAGTGATTGCTGATGTCGTTTACGCTGCATTGAACTACAGATTGATAGAATCTTCTCTTAGAAATGAAGTATTTCATTTTTGTTGTCCTTTTTGCATGGAAATGAATTGAGCATTGCATGACAGCAGATGAAAACTGTTATTGGACGTATTTTATGATGACGCAATCTAAGTAGTGATATTGAAAGGGATGGTTTAGACATCTGAATGCCAGAATGCAAATACCACTGTTAAACTGAGTGCTGATATTTCCAGCTTATGAGACTCACATAGGATAGAACGTTTATATTGGACTTTAATGTAAGCTATTGTCAAGTTGTTATGCCTGAAATTGAAACCTCACGGCCTATTTAAGTCTACCGTTTAACAATGACCATGTTTACAGAGATGAGGTAATTCTGACCAAGAAATTTATAAGTATGGAAATAAAATGAAAAATAATTTATATCGTGAAAACGTTAAATCTGTCTGTCTGTCTATTTTCGACATAGAACTTTGCACCGATGCGCGGTAGTTCATGTGCGCCATACTCTCCTCCTTGTAGCACACAAAGCAAGAGAAGAAACTAGAAGAAATGCGTAATAGAGACAGCGAACAGAGGTGTTAGACAAAGGAATAGTAATAACGAAGAACAATATAGTTTCATTGGAAATCATAAGTCACAAGGAATGGATGTATCTGCGCCAATGAGAACGTTAAATATGATTTGCAAACTTTAGAAATAGTAAAGAAGAATAGCTTTTTTTATCACACATACATTTATACATACATTTCAGGTTAAGTAATATTCAGAGCTCACTGATCATATTTTAAGAACAACTATTTAAACGAGATAAAATTATTTGTCCTCAATTTGCTTACGTAAAAACTATCGATGATATTTGTGACTGCATCTATACAGAATTTTATTTAATTTTAAACTAAAGACGTTACATGTCTTGAAAATTTCGAATTAGTCTGAACGTATTATTATTATTGTCTCCTTTAGTTCCTAGAGGAACAAAAGGGCTTCAGCCACACGTCTCCATTGCGTTCGGTTCTCCGCCAACGTTTTCACCTCGCTCCACGTCTGCCAACATGCTTTCACCTCCTCTTCCCATAACCTTCTCCAAGTAACCCTTGGACAACCAACTCTCTGCTTCCTATCCGGGTTCCATTCGAGGGCCCGTCTTGTGATGTGACTTGACGGTTTGTTTGCTCAAAGAATGGCCAACCCACCTCAATTTCTTCCTGCCTATTTGTTGCACACTCAGCTCCTTCTGGGTTAATTCTCTCCCAGACATCCCTGTTGCTGATAGTGAGTAGAATTGAGCGAAGACAGCTGTTGAAGAAAGTCTGTAGCTTGTTCGAAGTGCCTTTCGTGACGTGTCAAGTCTCTGATCCGTATAGCAGCACTGACTTCACATTGGAATTGAAAGTCCGGTTCTTATTTTTGATGCTGAGTGCTGTTGACCTCCACATAGACTTGAGAGTAATGAAAGCTTGTCTGGCTTTTCTGATCCTCGATTTGATATCCCAATCAGTTCCACCGGTAGTTGAAACGATGCTTCCTAGGTCGGTAGGGGAAGGAGGTCGCTTCTTACAGATTTCTCCCATTTATGCTGTTGGCCAGGATCCTTCATCACCTCTGTTTCCTTTAAATTCACTGGAAGTTCTGTCTTTGTTGCTTCATCTGCCAACCTGTTGGTTTTCACCTGCATATCTTCCAGTCTGTGGAAAATCATTTCTTATGAGGCAGACCTAATTAAAATAAAAATTGGGATGATACTAGGATAGCATTTTATAGTTGTTTATTCTGTAACCCTGGAGAAATTATTAAACAGTATATCGGGGATGTAAGTGCGGACGTTAGAAAATGTGGTAGTATAAAATTCCATTTCATAAGGTTGTTTAACACTATAAAATGGTATTATTAACTGGACAAACGCGTGAAAGCGATTCACACTTTCTAGTTAAAGCAATTCAAATTCACAATACTGATTGGTTTTGTATGCCTTGTTGTATGATAAATTAAATCTTCTAGATAGCAAGCATTAATTGCAAGACCCTGGGAGTGTCTGAATAAACAAGTCTTGAATTGTAAACTTCTTAATGTATTCATTGAAATTAGTACATGTGAAAATGGTTTACATATCTATAAATATCAATACATTTTTACATGATTCTGGTTGGGTTAACATGAATTGATATTCATAATTTTTGCACTTCTTATTTTACCATCTTATGCCAAGCTGGTGAGCCGTATTTCTTTGAACTTCCTGAATATGAACTACTCTTTTGAGTATTCTTTTTCCAAGTAAGTGAATTTTCAGGTTTAAATGTCATTATATTCCCCGAGTTACTTAAAGCTTTACTTGAAGATTTGCTTAAGTCTTTTACTGCGGCTTTCTTATGGAAACTATTTGCATTATCGGCGTTGTCTATAAATTTATGGGCAAACGTACTGAAAAGGAAGAAGCATTTACAATTTTTTCTAACGATTAGTCTCTGGTTTAAATCCACTAACCATGAATACGGCGTCGTAGCCAAGAAAAAAATGAAGCACGGCAATTCATTTGAAGTGAAAGTCCGTAGAAATACTAAATTTAACTCTTCATTGGCCTACATTAGTTGTAGAGGTTCATTAAAATCCCTGAAACAACTAATTATCTCTGAGGAACGTCTACTGTTTTTGATAAATAAATTAATTTTCTAAGCCACTCAGTTATTGACAGACATTTGTTTTCATCAAGTTTTTTTTCGGTTATAAGACAAAGATCATTAAGGTTTTTGAGTTCGAAGTTAAGGTTAAACTGAAATACAGTGAAATGCAAGTGTAACAGAGGGGGTCTATTGACGGAAAATCTTTCTAAAACTGTCTGATTACAATATTTACACTTATTTCAGTGTTTCAGATAACTTTGTAATTACTATCTGCTTTTCTCCTAGACTGCATATCACTGTTCTCACATTTGCATATCATATGCTGACTCGATGCTTATCAACTGTTTTTGTCCTTGTTTAATGTCTAGTTTTAATGCTCCCCTTTGTGATTCGAACAATATATTGATAATGTGTTGTTTTACAATGTGACTTTAGTGAATGAAGGTCATTTTTCTGACTTTGGAGTGTCTTCGGGAAGTGATGGTATCTGATTCTTGCGAATATAGTCTCAATCTCACCTTGTTGGGAATGTTCTACTTCATTCGGAGGTACTTCTTACTGCTGAATTTCAATTGACTAATTTTTTTTCTACCGAACTTGTTTTGTGCTAGAAAACTATGTAGTTTGTATAGCTACCCAATGACACTGGTGAGGTAATTTTGAGTTTTTCTTATGTCATTACTAATGAATAGAACCAATGATTTTACGACGACTTACCGTCTTCCCACTGTCTTTGGAGCATTTTGTGACTGTACATGTCTCAAGGAAGTTTCGGATAGCTATACAGTAGGACGCAGATGTCGGTTTTCTGTCTTCAAACAACAACAAAACCGGCCAACAACTGCTACATTGCCGTCCGTGGTGATCGGGCTTGAATACCGCAGTGACCCAACAAGCTAAACTGGCTGGGACTCATGTTCCTGTAGGTCCTACCATGTCAGGAAGGTTGTTTGAATAGCGGTTAAACTAAAGGCAGTTACCATTGGGTACATGGACTGCAGAACCCAATGGGATCAAATGGCGTATGAACCCATATGGGTCACCGGAAACCATGGGAATGCAGCTCCTGACGCTGCTTCTCTGCCTTGCGAATTAGACTCCAAGTCAAGGGCGGAGGGGGTGGTCCTTCAAGAAAACCACCTGCTTCGGTCTGGGCGCCCGGGCAGTATCTCAGCCCTCACACAACAAATGAAATTTTGTGTGAAGCATCTTTCCTGGTGCCATATTGTACCAAGTTCTTTCTGCGTTAAAATAATAATCATAATTTGGTTGTTGTGAGTTGTGTAAGCATTCCATTTGTAAGCCTTTAAAGTGTCTTTTTCCTTCGAGTATGTTCGATTATATCGGATTTCTGACTTTCTTTATCCTCTATTAGTGTTGTACACAAAATCATATACTTATGCATAATTGGTAGGTTGATTCTGTTGGCATACAACTTCATATCTTTGTGAATTACCAACGTTTATGTAAAGCCATCGTGCACATACACAAGAGTAACCTTATCTCGAATGCTAGATAACCGTAATTTTCCTTAACATAAAACAGTAGAACTTATTATTAATCTAATCAAAGCGGATTATTTAACTTCAAAGCAGGTTTATTTTGGGTTTTCTGAGAATATCAAATTATTTTCCACCTTTGCATATAATAGCAAATATATATAAATATATAACCATATTTAGTTACTGCACTCGAATTACTATCTCACGCCCTAATTTCATTTGACATTTGCTTAATTCTTATGCTTGATTACAACACCTTATTAATACAGGAATATGATGTTTCTTTCTGATAAAAAGTAGT